AGGTACTTGACTGCTAACCAGAAGGCTGGCAGTTCAAACCCACCAGCCACTCCTCAGAAGGAAGATGGGACACTCTACTTCCATAGTGTACTGCCTCAGAAACCCAAGGAGGGGTCGCTATGAGTAGGATCTGACTCGAAGTGTACTGCCTCAGAAACCCAAGGAGGGGTCACTATGAGTAGGGTCCGCCTCAATGGCAAATAACAACAGCAACAATGACAGATAAAGTATGAGCTGATCAGCTTCATCTATTTGAGAATGATTGCTTTCCCTTTGTTCTAGTTCTAAGTGTAGCCCTTGTAGGATCCCCACTGAAAGCCTGGCATGATTACTAAAGTTTTTAATCCAACGTATTCTCTTTCGTTCTAGGATATTGCTTATCTCATCTTGGCTGCTTTAGCTGTTAATTTGTGTCTTCGAACAGATTTTTTTTTTTTTTAATTCAGCAGTTTAGTTGTTTTCAATGAATTTGTCTCATGTAAGCTTCTCTATTACAGCAAAATCTCTGTTTCTATTATATTATTTCTACATTTTAGAGCAAATGTAAATTATGTTCTCTTATCCTAATCCTAACATCTGTGTTAATATTGGTCATAAAATTAAAAAGATTTTCTTTCACACCAGTCCTTATTACTCAGTCTCCCATGCCCTACTCCCACCCCTGGCATCTCTTGCTTTTCTTTAGTTTATTCTTTATTACTTCCTCAGGAAAGCTATGTCTTATATCTGAATTCCAGCATTTGCACACTATCTTTGTGCATTTTAATATACATAAAGCCCCTTTAAGCTATGCTGAGCTGCTTTTTAGGTTATCCAAGTTATCCCTTGATTAGTCAGTGTTTTGGTTACTTCATACTGCTGTGACAGAAAACACCACAAATTGGATGGCTTTAAAAAATAGGAGTTTCTTCTCTTTCAGTTTTGGAGGCAAGAAGTCTAAGTTCAAAGTGCCAGGCTCTAGGGGCTGGGTGAAAGCCCCTCAACCTTGGCTTCAGCTCTGCCTCTTACTCCTGGCCCACTGGAGCTAGAGGTATCTCTTCACTCAGGCAGCTGCTGGCTGCTGAGCCTAACAAACCCAAGGTCAACAAATAAAATGACACAGTCCCAATATTATCAAACAACAGAGCAGGTCATTAGTTCAAGTCCAGAGACAGTCCCAAGATCAGCAGGAAACCTGGCAGGCTGCTAAATGAAGACTCGGTTACATTCAGGATCCAAGCATGCCAAAAAGCTGCAGACCATTCCCAAAGCTTCTCCTTATATACTGGAAGCAAACCACATCCCTAAAGCAGCTACTCAGCTACTTGCAGCAAATTCCACCATGGAGTTGATTGCCAGTCTCATCATGGGGAATAACTACAACCACTGCCCAACCACTTAAAACCAGACTCAGCCAAGCTGACGCATAACCTTACCTATCACAGTCTATTATTTTTGTTGTGCCATGGTTATAAAGTTACATAGATTTGAGTAGTCTACTCCAGACCTATTTTTCCCATGAAACATGTAAAGTTTGGTGTGAAAGTTTGCAGAAAGTGAAATAGTTTAGGAACATGTATGTGGTATTGTAGCAAAATTTCTATGCTTTAGAATATCTAATTCATTCACTTGAAATAGGCATTGTTTTAAGTTTGCCTTTTATTACTCTATGAAAGTTTTCTCCTGGAATAGGAAAATACCATGTGTTTAATTTCTTTATTTTTCTTTCTTTCAGATCTGGAATCCAATAATTTATCTCCAGAAAAGGACATTTATGAAATATATTCATTCCAATGGGAAATAATGGGAAAAATTAAAAATGATAGCCTCCAGTGCGCCATTTATAGAAATGATTGGGAATGCCAAAACAAGATTGAGGGGCAAAAGGAACAACAAGAGGGATATTTTAGGCAAGTGAAAATTACTCCTGAAAAAATGACCACTTACAAAAACCACAATTTCCTTACTGCATATCAGAGAATTCATAATGGAGAAAAGTTGTTATACGAATGTAAGGAATGTAGGAAGACGTTTATTCGTCGCTCAACACTTAGTCAACACCTGAGAATTCATACGGGTGAGAAACCTTATAAATGTAAGGAATGTGGGCAGGCCTTTAGACAGCGTGCACACCTGATTCGACATCACAAACTTCACACTGGTGAGAAACCATATGAATGTAAGGAATGTGGGAAGGCATTTACAGTCCTTCAAGAACTTACTCAACATCAGAGACTTCATACTGGTGAAAAGCCCTATGAATGTAAGGAATGTGGGAAGGCCTTTAGAGTACACCAGCAACTTGCTCGACATCAGAGAATTCACACTGGTGAGAAACCTTATGAATGTAAGGAATGTGGAAAGACCTTTAGACAGTGTACCCACCTTACTCGACATCAGAGACTTCATACTGCTGAGAAGCTCCATGAGTGTAAGGAATGTGGAAAGGCCTTTGTATGTGGTCCAGACCTTAGAGTACATCAGAAGATTCATTTTGGTGAGAAACCCTACATGTGTAAGGAATGTGGAAAGGCTTTTAGAATATGCCAACAACTTAATGTCCATCAGAGTATTCATACTGGTGAGAAACCTTATGAATGTAAGGAATGTGGGAAGACTTTTAGATTAAGGCAACAACTTGTTCGCCATCAGAGAATTCATACCCGTGAAAAACCCTACGAATGTATGGAGTGTTGGAAGACTTTCAGTAGTTACTCACAACTTATTTCACATCAGAGCATCCATATTGGTGAGAGACCCTATGAATGTGAAGAATGTGGGAAGGCTTTTAGACTGCTCTCACAACTTACTCAACATCAGAGTATTCATACTGGTGAAAAACCTTATGAATGTAAGGAATGTAGGAAACCCTTTAGACTGCTCTCACAACTTACTCAACATCAAAGTATTCATACTGGTGAGAAACCTTACAAATGTAAAGAATGTGGTAAGGCTTTTAGACTTTATTCATTTCTTACTCAGCATCAGAGAATTCATACTGGTGAGAAACCCTACAAATGTAAGGAATGTAAGAAAGCCTTTAGACAACATTCACACCTTACTCAACATCAGAAAATTCATAATGCAATTTAATACAAGAAATCCTTAAAATGGACATTATGTTATCACAGAATTCATTCTTGGGAAAATTTGTTTCATTCTCACAATTAATTCAGCCTAAGAGATTTTATATTAGATAAAAATATGTTGATTTAAAAGCCTCCTATTACCACTTAAACATTGTTTATCTTTAGCAAACTCATGAGAAAATAATATAATGAATGTAGGAAAATCCTTAGCCTTATCTATCATTATATCCATGTCACTACTTTATTACCAATATGACATTGGACAAGATACTTAATCTTCTGTGCCTCATTTTACCCAGTTTTAAAGTGGTTATGATAGTACCTATTAGTTATTTATTGCTGTATAATAAGTTACCACAAACTTAGTAGCTTAAAACAACACACATTTATTATCTCACAATTTGTATCAGTGAGAAGTCCAGGCATGACTTACTTGGGCCCTCAGCTTCTGAGTCTCTAAAAAGGCTACAATCAGGGTTTCAGCTATAGCTGGGATCTTATCTAAAAGACCTTGACTAAGGAAGGATCCCCTTCTACTTGCTTCTAACAAGCAAGTCACTGGGACATCCCACACTCAAGGGAAGAGGATATACAGGAATGTGAATACCAGGAGGTAGGGGACAACTGGGGACCATTTTAGAGTCTGCCTGCTACACTGTGTTAAAGGATCGGTGTATGGATTAAATAGTTAATACTTGGAAGAATAACAGCTACATAGCATGTATTCTGTAAATATATCTATAATTGTTATCATCATTAGTGCTAGTAAATTCATGAAAGAAAGACCATATAGAAGTAATAAATGTAGAAATGCCTTCTGTCACCTCACAGAGCTTATTAAACTTAATTTATTCTGGATGAAAAGTAGGAGATTATAGTGAATGTGGTAAATTTCATCCCTTGAGCTGCATCAGAAATTTTATGTTGAAACTGAATTTTGTGAATGTGGGTCTTTAAAGAGTACAATGGTTGAAGAATCAGTAATATGAAATGATTTTCTCATAGTAAATTCCAAAAACAAATGCCTTACAATACCACAATTCAAGATGAATTAGAAATAATTAAGGAAAAAACAAAAAAGATGGCAGAAAAAGAAACCACTTGGAAATTTAATATTGTGTATGTGTGTGAAATTTCCATATGTTCAATTCTGTTGAAGTCAATATACTTTTTAATGTTCAAATTGCTCCATCTTTGGCCAGGGGGAGTTCTTTCAAGTTAGGTTTTTTGACATGATTCGACCAGTGGTGTAGAATGACTTACTTGGTTGTGGCTGCAGAGTTTGATCAGCTATAGAAAATGCTATAGTACCAACTCATCATTTTGGAAAGTGATAAATAAGGGAAATTATTGAGCCTTTATTCTGCCTTTCCCATATGAAACAAGTTCAGAGCCACCAAAATTGATCAAATTATGTTGTTGTTGTTGTTATGTGCCATCGAGTCGGCCCCGACTCATAGCGACCCCTCCTTGGGTTTCCGAGGCAGTATCACTACGGAAGTAGGATTGCCCAACCTTCCTTCCGAGGAGTGGCTGGTGGGTTTGAACCACAAGCAGTCTGGTTAGCAGGCAAGTGTCTTAGCCACTATGCTATAGTATTTTTAATTTATTTACATGCAGAAAGAATGATAGGTTTAGAAAAGCCAACATTTTCTAGCCCCTACCGGAATAAGGGATCCAAAAAATAATCCTCAATGGATGCTAAAACTATTAAATGAAAGATTGATAAGAATTTTATCAACAGTTTATCAAGCTGACCACCTCTGAAGCCTTCTGATCAGTCTTAACCTCAATAAAATTGTGACTGTAGGCAATATGTACCCTAGGAACCTGGTGGCATAATGCCTAAGGCATTTGACTGCTAACCAGAAGGCAGGTGGTTCAAACCCACCAGCCACCCCTCAGAAGGAAAATTGGGCAATCTACTTCAGTAGTGATACCACCTCAGAAACCCAAGAAAGGGTCGCTGTTAGTTGGATCTGACTCCACAGAAGTAAGTTTGGTTTTGGTTTGGAAATAATGCAAGAGGTAGTACACAGCACTACCTGTAAAGTGTTAATGCCAAAATAATGAAGTGAAGGAATCAAGCCTTTAAGTAAAATTCTTTAAAATCAAGAATTTGCAGGAAGAGATGGATAAGGTAAATGGCATCACAAGGAAGCAATCAACCAGATCCAGAATGTGTAAAATTCTACAGAACAAATGACCTGATTTCTTCAGCTGAGTGGCATGAATAAAGAAAAGGGGAGAAGGGGAGTGGCAACCATTAACAGGTTAAAAAAGACTTAAGAACATGTTAGCTAAATTCAATATGTGGGCATTTTATGGGCCTGATTTGAACAAATAAAAAAAAAAAAAACAGAAATGTGAACATGTGCCAATTATTAGTTGATATTTAGAAATATTTTGTTGGGTGCTGTGGTTATTAAAAAATGAAATATACTATTTATTAGAGATACATACTTACAATGATGCCTGAATTTGTTTTAAAATATTCCAGAAAAAGAAAAAAATTGAGGAAAAGAACTGGAAACTAGATTGGCAAAATGTTGATAATAATTGAAGTGGAGTGGTTTGTTTGTGGGGGTGTATTGAGCTAATATTTCTACTTTTGTATGTGTTTGAAAGTTTCAATAATAAAAAGTTTAAAATGCAAATTAAAACAAATTATAAGCTTCCAAGAAATGAATGATAATGAAATTACTACATATTGAAACTTGTAGAATGTCACCAAAGTTCTTTACAGTGAGAAATTAATACTTTTTAATGCATTAAGGAAACTTAATTTTTGAACTCAGTCTTCATCTTACTCATTTTATCTCTAGCAGCCAGTGAATGTCTGGTCACATAGAAGACACTTGATAAAATGTTGAAGGAATAAGTATTTATCTCAAGAAACCAAAAATAGAACAAAATAAAACCAACACAAGTAAAAAGAAGGAAAGCACAATTAAAAGTAGAAATTAAGAGACTACATACTATTAGACTCTTCCACTGTTAACAATGACTAGATTTTGGCAGGTTTAATGAAGTAAAAAATGAAAGAGAATACATTTAGAACATAAATAATGATAGAATTGACATAGCTACAATTGACTTGATACTGATACTTAATACTGTAAACATGTATACACCAATGTGTGTGTGTAAACTCCCTGAGGTTTTTTGTTTGTTTTTAATATAGTTTTACAGGTAAATAAGTACAACTCCTGGATAAAAACTTATGTGTGATTTTCCAGCCTGACCATGTGCAATGCAGTGAATTGTCTATTATGGTTCTTCCACCCATAGTCCTCCATTTTGTGATGTATTATAAATCCTAGTCTCTAGTCCTGTTTAGGGGGAAATGTATCTTGAGTCCCATTTTACTGGAGGGTGTGACTCAAGTCACCACCCTTAGTTTCCTTGAGGATATGTATGTGAATATTCTGGTAAAGTTCACTCTTTGGCTCCATTTCTGCATTTGGTTCCTCCTCATTTCACCCCTGGGCTTGAGACAGCAGCTGGTCATCTGACCCTCTGCCAAAGGGACAAGGAGGCCTCAACTTCTGACCTCCTCTAACCCCACAAGAGGAAGACAGAATCACCATCAGTAGCCCAAGGCCTATTCCTGCAAGGTCAGACATGCTGCCTCCCTCCAGCCCTTTCACCAACCTTGACACCAACCATTCCTCCTGCAGCACTCACCACCTTTCTTCTGGGTTTGATAATTCACTGCAGTGACCACACAAAACTCACAGATTATGGGGTTTATTAGGGAAGCACCAGGCTACAATTCAAGTTCAGGAAAAACGCTCAGTCTCTCTCAGCCCACCACCTCTCAGCCAATGGTCTCTCTCAGTCTCTCTCTCAGCAGTGTGTGTCTCTCGGTGTCTCTCTCTTAGCAATGTGCATCTCTCGGTAGCTCTTTCTCAGCAGCATGTGTCTCTTGGTGTCTCTTTCTCAGCAGCATGTGGCTCTCAGGAGCAAGTGTCTCTCAGGAGCACATCTTTCTCAGCCAGCAGTTAGAGAGACTTCTGCCTCTAAGAGGCCTCCTTTTGAGCCTGGCAGAGTGACCAAACTAGCCAATGATAGCATCAGGATTCTAAGCACCTGAGAGAGAAAGTGAACTTCCTGGAACATTGCTTTGTGACACTGTCCAACAGAAATACCCTAGGTAGATAACTTTAGCAATCAGGAGCTCCTCAGTTGCTCATGGCAAATTCCACCTCAGAGTTTACAAAGACTTATAGGTAGAAAAGCCACACTATGTAATTTACTACACCACATGCTCCAATTTGGGTTCACCAGTCGCTGCAACCATGTGAGTGAGGGGAGTCTTCTAGACCTACCCACCGACCCACCGACTTGGGACTTGCTAGCCTCCCAGCCTCCAGCACCATGTGAGCCATTTTCTTGGTGGTCTGTGACTTATGTGAGATGTTACAGCAAAATATGAAACCCTAAGATAGGAGGGAGAGTGCTGCAGGGAGGAGGAGGAGGAGGAATTGATGTCAGAGATGATGGAGTGGTATAGCAGTTTGGAAAAGTTGGACATTTAACCTCTGCCTCGTAGGCACTGGCCTTGTGCTGATCCCTCTAAAATAAATTGTTCAAGCAGTTGGTGTCAGAAATGGGATTTGCCACAACAGCCCAGACTCACTGAAATATGTGGTTTAGGGGAAAAGGGCATAAAGTGGTAAATGAGAAACATTTGAGTTCTGGATGTGGTAAATTAAAAAAAAAAAAAAAAGAAGAAAGAAATGCACCCATGGATTGAACCAGTTGTTTTGCTGAGATCCATTACCCAAGGCAAAAACTATTCATGGGATTTAGAAGTGGTGGATGTTACTCTCAAGGAATTGGCTAGTTGCATGCATGTGGAGATACAGTGATAAGGAAAGGGTAAGACTTAAAATTCTTTGGTTGTAGTTATCAGTAATAGCTGCAAACGACAGGGAAAAATAATGTAAATGAGGGTTGTAGAACTGATCCAAGCCAAGATCTGGGCTGATCAGAGCTATG